TGTTGCTTAGTTCCTCTCTGCAGTGGAAATCTGGTTATGTACTTATGACAATTTGAATGGCTTCTCCATCAGGCTAAGAAAGGAAGGAGAACAGCTGCTGAACCATGACTGCAAACAGTTACACCCATTGTTCTTCAAAAAACAGCTAGTAGCTTCATTGATAGATAAATAGTGCAGTTATGGTCCATATTTCTTTCTTTCTTTTTTGAATATTTTGCTCTGTCTTCCATCCCTCCAAGATTTACAGTTGCCATCAATCATTTAATCTGTAAAAATTAAGTCTTTGCTTTCAGTAAACAAGGTAAATAGGGATAATAGTTGGAACAGAGCAACCATCATTGATGCCTTTGTATTTTTTCAGAGCATCTGTCCTGTGTCCTCTTGCTCAAGGTTTCCGTCTTTTGTATTTTCTCTCTGCATGAGTGTGTGTTTCCTCTAGTTGGTGTTTATGTGAACAGGTGTTTCCCTTCCAGGAAGGGAAAACTTTGCCCGTATAATAAAATTTCTCTATTTGTATATCTAGCACAAGTGCTCTGCCCGTATAATAAAATTTCTCTATTTGTATATCTAGTACAAGTGAGTTTGTGGAAACATATCTGTTTATTTGTATAGGCTGTATGGAGTAACACAGGAGTTTGCTGTGATTCACGTGGGGGCTTCCAGATTAAACACTGTACCTCAATGATAGATCTGATTTGATGCAAATTGAAACTTTTGCTAAGGTCCATCCAAGCTCCTCTGTGCCAAATTGCAAATGTAAATGAGAATGCAACACAACACTCTCTAGAGCGCCTGAATATTTTTTCCAGACTACCTGATTTACTTTCCCCGCAGCTAGTAAAGATTTCACTACTGACATATTTAATAATTTCTTATCAAACATTTCACTTTTCATGTTCAAATGGAATGATTTACCAAACCAGGCTTCCGGAAATTGGGTTAAAAAGATGAGTTAAAAGGTTAAGAATGGTATTACAAATACAGCTTTCAAAAGGAGATAATAACAAAATACCACACTGTGTAGTATGATATATGTTATAGATATAGTCTGTAACAGTTTGTTTAAAAACCTGTCTTGAAGTTCAGAGCCCCACAGGCAATTTGCATGGTTGATATACAGTTAATATAACTGATATTTCATTTTCATAATGATAACCTGTTAAGCTACAATTGGTGAGCATGTCGTCTGAGCATCTGCAGGAGAGGTCAGAAGGGGCAAGATGGCAGCCATGACTGCATGATCAAAGCCCCACCCCATTTTTCTGTGCATTGCATCCACAAGACATGTTAGGGTTAGAGACAGTATGAGCTTGGGCATGTATATTCTCTCTTCAGTGGCTTCAACCACATAAATGTGACGCATATATTGTTCAGAGCTTTTTCACAGATGACACTGAAAGCGCCTTGAGCTATTTATGTAGATATAAATTGATTCTATGTTGTAGGCATGTCAGTTTTATATTTAGAGATGGAGAAATGCAAAAATACATTTAGGGTTTGCTGTGAAAACCTCCATAGTGTTTTACATTGTGCTTGAACTGAAAAGCCTGTAATATAATTAACATCCATCAGGGCATTAATGAGCAAAAGAAACGATTGCTTCCCCGTTGCTGTTAGGGAAAGTACCCCGCTGAATTCTGTCTTTCAGTCGTCCAAAAGATTTCACTTGCAGAAAAGCAGCTTAGTTTTTTCCTTAGGCTGTTTTCAGATTTCTTTAGAAACTCTTTCTGGTAATGTTGTGCTTCCCTTATGATTGTGAGGTGGTAGATGGGGCTGTTGTTGTTCTCCCCATTGCTCACCTGCGCTTCCTGCTCTAAAGCCCCCTTTGGGTGGACTTCCTCATGATGTCTTCCTTTGGGATTGAACAGAAGTATGGGAAGACAGGGATGCTGCAGGTCACTGGGAAGATAATTGTATAGTCGAATGAAAAGCAAAATACTTACCACTGCTCCCAGGCCTCATGGTGATTTAGAGAGGTAGCAGAATACTTTACTCTTTGTGTGGATAAGGGAGGAACGCAAACTTTTTTTTTGGCATATTACTTAGGAATCTTTTGTAATGGAATGGGATAAATAATGGAAAGCATTATAGCTAGTTTTCAGAAATAACAGTTGTATCAGCCTTGTTTTGAAAATAATAGTGCAGTGACTTAGACCCTAGGGTATACTGCCATGAGGCTCCTTCTTCCCTTCTTCCCTCCTTCCCTTCCCTGGCACTCATCAAACATGAATTACTACAAAGGAGGGTGTAGATTTTATGTCATCTGTACTGATGCTGCATGTCCTCTATGACTAAATTAATAAATGTATTGTTATTAAAAATAATAAAGGTATTAATATTTTAATAAATTATATCAAGTTTTTGAATGTAAAGACTGTTTAGTTGATCTGTTTCTCATTTTTAAGAAGTCTCATCTCATCTAAGAATGAAAACAGGTTTCACTTTAACAGGTGGACAGCTCCCAAAGAGTTTTTCTTTCTTCCATTTAGTTGTATATGCACCAGGCTATCTAAAACAGCAAGCTGAAACTCTGTTCTGAAAAATGCAGAGTACAGGCTGTAGAACAAAGGCACTCTTGCATTTACACAGACCCAGCACCATATTTGTAGGTGGGGACTATGACCAATTAATCGTCTGTTATACAGTCTGCGCCAGCATGTACCTCATTGCATTCTTCTTTCTCTATTTTCCTTAGCTCCATAGCTAGAGACAACATTCTCTACCTTACTGATCTCTACCCCCTCCCCACCCAGCCCCATATAGCTGGAAGAGAGATATTCTCTTTTATTCCTCTTAAGGAATAGTCCAACTGCAAGAAGTGGGACTAGTTTATTCTCTCTCAAGCATATGGCTTTGCTTGCCTTCCAGATGGATTGTAACTCTTTTCTAAATCTGGCATTTCCTCATAGGGTGTAAGTAGAGAATCTGTGCCTTCCCAATGTAATTAGATTATAAATCTCATCATTAGCCATGCACTTTGGTGTATCTTTTCGCATGATTAATATATCGTTGAGTTAATCTTTGTTTTTGTTCTTTTACCTCAATGTTTCCCAACCTCAGCACCTTTAAGATAGACAGACTTCAACTCCCAGGATTTCCCAGCCAGCATGCATCTCAAAGTTGCTGAGGTTGAGAAACATTGTTTTACCTAATTTCAGGTATTTTTTTCCTCTATTGTTGCTGCTGTTACTTCACTCAGTTATTGTAAGCTGCTTTGAAGACTTTTTTAAAATATGTTTTTTAATAAATGAATGAATTTGGCCAATTTAGGTTAGCTGTAGCTAGTTTTTTTAGTGTGTGGCACATAGATGCACAGAAAAAAATCAATTTTGGAGAGGAAAAAGGGAAATAACCACACAGTTCTAGGATCAGTTAGTTGTCAAGAACCAAAACATTGGAATTCTCTTTTGGCAACTAAAGATCATTTCCAAATCCATTTGATCCTTAGACAGTCAGTAAGGAATTCACTTTTTAAATTAGGTTTCCTGTACTGTCCTTTGAAGTTAACATTTAATCAATTTTCACCAAAAGACTTTCTCCAGAAATTATTGAGAGTTCTGTTCACACTAACACTTAGTTTATAATTTATCTCACTGCAGAAGAGAATTTGTTTCAAATTTCTCCTGGTGGTGTTTTTGAGTTTAGTCTGGGTGATGGCAGAAGATACTACTGTTAGTGTAACTGTTTCATTTTGCACATCCTTCCAGCATTCTGAAGCCTCTCTGGCTTCCAATCTGAAAAAGCCCCACAGGAAATGTTCTCTCATCAGGTCTTTCTTTGGGGTTTCATGAAAATGTCAGAAGCCAAAGGGGCTGTAAACAGCTGGAGAGATGATGGTTGTACAACCCATCTCTTGGCCACCTTGAAACTGAGTGTGAGAACATATTACTTTACCCACAAGAATTTTACAAACTTCTCTTCTTCTTTGAAAGAAATGTCAGAAAGAAATTCTCTTTCATCATATTGAATGAGAACTAGCAGAAAAATATGTGTGTGAATGTTTCTGCATTGCACAAATTTGCACAAGTGACAGCTTTGTGGTTCCTTGGAATGCAACCACATGCCCATAAAAGTTGTTAGGATTGCCGTATCTTTTATATGTACAGAGTAGAAGACATTTATGACATGTTCAGCTTGCTATGCAAGTCAGAGGAAAGTTATGCATACCATAAGCCTATTGAAGGCACAGAAGCGCCATATATCTGGTTATCCCCAGAGGTGGTGTTACTGTCCCATGTAGCAAGCAGTTTTTATACAGTAGCTGGTACTGGTACAGATTTAATTCATGTTGGCCTAAGAGGAGATAGTTCCACATCCTAGGAATTAGGTTATAAAATCTTTGGTTCTTGCAACACAGGTAACTATTATAAATGATTACTGGAGTTAATGGATAAATATTCTGATTTTTATCAGCTGCATAACCAACAAAAATGAGCAGATGATGGTTTTCCCAACACACAAAGCTGTAATAGGGAAATCTATACCAGTTGAATTCAAGTCTGTCAGGGACATAAAATGGGGACAGTTGTACCTATAATAATCTACATAAAAGAAAGTTTAATCTACTATGCACTCATGAATAAATCCTCTTTCTTCTGAATAGACATATACCAGCTTGTGCTAGAAGTCTTATTCCTAGTGGTTTCTCACATAATGTCAGGCCCAGCCCAAGAGCAACGGTGAAACAGTCCAGTCGAGTATAGTACCTTTATTTGCTTACACCTTATAGACAGAATCTTGCCAAACTAAATCTGTATTACAGCAACTAGTGGATATATCCTGGGAGATTCTAGGGGGTGGCTATCCTGAACCTCTTTCGCTTCCCACGCTCCCCTTGAGGACTGTATTGTCTCTTGTTCCCCTCCTGGAATGCACCCCCTCCCTCCTGATAGCCTTGATCTCCCACATCACTCTCCTCCTCGTAGATACATTCCATCACGCACAATCATATTGTTGTTTTGCAATGGTTAATGTTTTCCTCTGATGCTGTTCTTCCACAGAGCCCCTGAAATCATCCTTGGTTTACCCTTCTGTGAAGCAATTGACATGTGGTCTTTGGGATGTGTCATTGCAGAACTTTTCTTGGGTTGGCCATTATATCCAGGAGCTTCAGAGTATGATCAGGTTGGTATTGTTGGTTTTGTTGCTATTGTTGTTGAACAAATATGATGATAACTGTTTTGCTACAAGGGTGACATACTTCATGAATTTATGGGGGGGGGGGAGAATGGAAAGTCAGTTTTTGTTTTGATTATCCATCGATTTCCAATGGCATTGTATTGACAATTAACTTTATGTCTTATGTCTCTTTGGAATACCAACCCAGCAAGCACATTATTTATAATTTAATTTAATTTAATTTAATTTAATTTAATTTAATTTAATTTAATTTGTCCCCACCCATCTCCCCCAAATGAACTATCCCAGTTCAGACTCATGGTGCTGTTCCAGTCCTTGGTATTTGTATAGTAAAATATCTCAGATGTGAGAACTTGTGGCCTTCCAGGTGTTGGTGAATTACAATTCCTAGCAACCTTCACCAATGGACAGGGTAGTTAGTGTTGCTGGGAGTTGTAGTTTGGCAGCATGTAGAGGGCTATAAAATCTATGAATTAGAAGTCAGAGTGGAAAACTAGTCTAATTTCTGAGAAGAGAGCTGCTTAGACATTTAGTTGAATGCATGGAGGGCTTCAAAGAAGGTACTGAACTACTCTCTACCTACTTTTTCTGATTCCACATGTTTAGCTGGAGGTTTGAAGGTGATGTGTATTTGCATTGACTTGAAAATGTGAATTGCTTTCCCTTTAATTCTGGACTCTAATAAGGGAAATACCAGATCATGCAGAAAGCTATATTAACACTCAAGTAAATACAAGTATAGTGTTCCTTCAAACTGCAAGCTAGATTGTAGAGGTTACTGATAGAATGGTCCAAGGCATGTATCTAATCCCTGTCTAGTTTCAGTGCATTCAGTTGAATGCCTGAACAGAACTCAGGCATACCAACAAACACTAGTGTAATGACATTCTACCCATTTTTTTCCAACCTGGGCATCTTCCAGATCTATGGATTAAACTCCCAGAATTTCCTAGTAAGCATAGCTGCTATAGAAAATGTTTGGAAATCAAAGTCCATACATCTAGATAGCATCCAATTTGGGGAAGGCTACACTAGTTTTTATCTGTTTTCAGATTTTGACCCTCTCATCTCCCGTTAATCATATTTGCCCTGCCCTGTTAGCATGAAATGATCTTGTTGTATTTTTACTGCTGAGGCATGTTTTTTTTTTTATATTCTTGGACCTCTATATCCGAGCTATCAAAATCCAGTGTTAAGAATTTTCTGTATTTCCTTGCTGTCATCTAGTGATTATCTGGATTTTTTGCAGCCCAAATATAATAGCCCTACTTATTCAGTGTAATGTTTGGGAATACTGTTTCTTAAGTGGTACTTTGCATAAATGTACTGTCAATCAAGAATTTCAATTTCAAAAAATAGGAAGCTGTGTAAATGGGAGTCTGGTCAGTGGGTAGAGTAGGAAAACTTTCTCCAATGTAACAAGTATCAACAAAAGTACTTCTTGTTCTACAATGCAAAAGGTTGTAAAGCTGCACTCAATGCTTGTAAAATCTACCATAGAAGACACATTTTATACTAGACTAGCTTGCTCCAAGCTGGCACTTTATATATGTCTCTGTTCCATATGTCTCTGGACCACAGCCTCATTGCTTGTCATCTATTCCAAAGAGCATTTACCCTGGTCATTATTTCAAGACAGCACTTCTCCTGATCAGATAAATTATCTAGAGCTGACTGGAGAGCTACTTGTCCTTTATTCTGCTGTGATTAAGACCAAGTCCTAGAGAGGCCCTGCAAAACAGTCCCTGTCTAGGCATTCCATCTTTGTGGCTATACAGCTGTCTGCTCTTCCACCTCCTGGGGATGAAGAAGAGGCAGAAGTGGGGTGGATCTTCTCCCTTCCTGTCTGCAGTAGCACCAATCTGATTGTACCACAATTATGGATTTGATAAAATTCTAGGAAATGTTAAGGGAATTCACACTCCCTTCCCTCAGAAAGGATAGGCAGATTGAAATGACTAAGGCATGAGAGTTGGGACAACTCTAATTTTTCACTGCTGAGACATATAAATTGGGTAAGTAAACTGAGGAAAAAGATGTCTCAATCAGCTACATTGCATGAACAAAGCTTATATCTCATTTACTCAACCATGGAAGTTCTAATCATTAGCCAAAGGTCTTGTAGTGAATTTACAGCTATAATCTATGCCAAAGGTCTGTCCATCAGTTTTGAATTTCCCACAATTTCCTAATTTACTGTCATGAAACTCTGCCAGATATGGCATGGAAGATGGATGCAAAACTAAAGTTCACCCTCCTTAGTCTTATTCAGGAAGATCACTATTTATGCTTGTTAGGCATGTTAACACAGAGAATAACAATCTAAAAATTGCAATTAGTATTAGAAATTAAAAATTTTTGAATACTTAAAAGAACCCAATAATTACATGAAAATAGAACCTGTATTATTAAATAGCAAGAACTCTTATGGAAATTTAAAGGGTTACAATTTTTATGACATAAACTTTCACTAAATGCATGAAATATAAATAAGATAATTATTGCTGTAGTTTCTGCAGTTCATTTCTGAATGTCCTATTCACAGACCCCAAACAGTAGATGTACAAATTACTTGTAACTCAGATTAAATTCTCCATATATTTAGGCCATAAAGTCCAACCCCACCAATCAGTAGATAAATCCAAATTAAAGTATCCCTAATAGAAGGCTATCTCTGATACTCAATGACATAATAAATTTGCTAATCTTTTAAGATACCATAATTTTCTTTGTTATTTTTGCTGCCACAGATAGCCTTGATTGCTACTTTCAGGTTGTAAACCAACTTCATATTTAAAAACAAAAAACAAGTAAGGCAAATACTAAGTAGGCTTAACATTTTGCTATTGAGCAAACATTTTTCTGGAAAGGGTCTGGCGACAGAAGACCACTATAGATGGAGCAAATCTCACCTTTCTGGTAGGGAGCCAGGTAGGACACTGAAGCTGCAACTGAAACATTATTTCCTTTACTCAACCTGATGTGGATCAGATGGTGGTTGGCTACAAAATGAAACTTTCTGTAATGGATGGGATGAGTGGGGAAGATTCTGGAATGGAACTTCAAGGTTGTCAGGAGGGGGGAGAGACATTCCAGGGCAAGTGCCTCCCCAGCCCACAACAAGAGTGTGGGAAGACGAAAAGGATGAGGCTGGCCCCTCCCTAGAGTCTCACGGGGTATAGCCACTAGTTGCTTTAGCATA